TTTCAAGTAAAGCCCTACAGTTATTAATTAACATTTATCCCAAATCTTGAAAATTACCCAGCGGTTTAACGACACGCCGCGTCCCCCGCTGCCCCGTCAATCGCAAAGGTGCTAATCAACATTGGATATTTGTCAAATTTTCTCAGCCAGTTCTTATTTAATAATAATTAGTAGCAGTGGAGCTCCTTGTGAAAGTGTTCGTCCAGAGAAGTACCTATTTCTGCCGCCAAGCAGTAATGTGAATATTACTGCGTTCCGGTTGCAGAGTAAGGGTGCTGGTGAAATTACAGCCACATGAGACTTTTTAACTTATGTCATGTGGCAGTATGTATGTGGCAGTTCCCCTCAGATTTAAAGCTCTGAGTGGCACTGCAACTGCTACGAATAGGCGTGTCGCTTAGGACCAGGCGCACGACTTGTTCGTCCCGTCGCTTGATATCATAAAAGCTGTATCACGTTGCTTCTACATACCATACTTTAAAATAATTATTTTAAATTATAAAAGTGATCAAGTTTCTATTTACAAAGAGCAACCCCTACAGTTTCTTAGAGATTTTTCTCAGGAAAATCTATCTTATAAAGCAGGTAGTGAATGAATATTCAGTATGACGATTTCAATGGTAATAGTTTATTTATGAAATAATAGTTTTTTATGCAATCATTGCATAATAAAGGTCCATAAAGACGATCACCGTGTTTGTCTAAGTAATAGGTGTGCATGCCTAAGTAATAGGTACGAGATTTTAAGACCTAATTATGTAATGATTACATACAATACTATTTCCAATAGTAAATAAAATAATGTAACTGAACCAATGTTTAATATCTGTTTTGTTAACAATCCCATGACAACGAACCTTTTTTTTTAATAAACTTTAATTATTATTATTTTTAATTTATTAAGCCTTTGGCAAAGCCATCAGCCTAAACATGAAGTTTAATTATGATGCCACAAAGAGGATAGGCAATTTGAGGCGGCGTGCTTGGATTGACTCGGGATTCCTTAAAACGGGCCGATACGGGTATTTAAGTTCGAGATTCGTATAATTTCCGTTTTAATCTTCGATTAAAGCACAATGGCACAATATCCTATTCCACTTTAAACTAGAATTCACAAAATAATTGAAAGTCAAAATAAAAACGACGCTTTTCCCCCCAAAAGATCCAGAGCGAATCCTAATAATCTTTAACCCATTTATTAGGGTAGGCAATGGTTCCACCATACAGCCTCTTCATATTATTTAGACAAAACCCAAACAAACGCTACAAAGAGATAGAATACAACTGGCCAAGTACCTCATATTTTACCATACTATACTCATATTATACTCATATTTTAACCAATCATTTTATTAATTGCATATTTATGGCCTGGTTGCAAGACTTAGGACAATTTAACCAATCAGGAGGCAGAGGGTAGTATAGCGTTTCAGTAGCGTCTTTTTTGATATTTTAGTCTTAGAGGATGGAAAAAAATAAAGAAATAGTCTAAGATTATAGTTAGCAAAAATACGACGATCTTTTTTTGAAACTCATTTAGGTAAATGTCCCAGTGGTCGACGCTTTTAGACGGAAAATCACGTGTTTTGCCAAAGAAGTACTTAATTATCAGTCATACTGACTACCTAGGTATGTTAACATATTAAACGGTTTGTCATTTATTTTCTAGGAACTATAAAATTTAAAATAATCATAGGCATTATTAATATATTCCAGTTTTCCGCTACCTCTAAAATTGTTCCTGTGTATGACAGGCTAAATTTCTAATGTCTCAATAGTTGACTATGGCACAGTGAGATCGGAGTACCTACCAGTATTTGGCAGGACGTTATGTTACGATTTCATAGTTATTTAAACGCATTAATCACTTGATAACAATAAATTTAAAAAGTAAGAAAACCCTAATCAATCGAGATGCTTTTATTAAAATTAATAAATACTTACTTACCTTTGCAGACAAGGTAAGTAAAAGCATGCAAAAAACATACAAAATAGAAACTAGAAATAGAAAATATACGGATGTAACAGAAAGGTGTAATTACATTAAAGGTGAGTCCTTTAATATAACTACAAAATAATAAAACAGAACCAATATTTAATATCTATTTTGTTAACAATCCATGACAACAAACGCATTTTTAAAAATAAACTTTAACCCATTTATCAGTCAATGGTTCCACCATACAGCCTCTTCATATTATTTAGACGAAAGCCAAACAAACGCTACAAAACAAAAAAGCAATAATTATATACACGTATAAATTTATACGTGTATTTAATTTCGAAGCTTTGTCCAGAACTCCTAGATGTCTGTTTGACATCAACACTCTATTATTCTTACAATTCTAAATACAAAACCTAAGCTGCCTGTACTACAGTACCATAGAAAAGAGCGCCTTTATGATATGGCTTATGAAATTTGACAAATGAAAATACAGGGGTACTTAGAAAAAAATATTAGCAATTTAAAAGCTCTTTTCGTAATCATTATTGATATACAGATTAACAAGCACAAAGAAATTAGTAGAAATAGAAAATAGTATAGTGTACTATGTATTAAGGACATTAAGTAAGAAATTACTAACGAGTGTCGATTATAGACTTTTTATCTGGTATAGTTGATTGTATGCAACTACGTGAGCTAAGCTAAATTAGCTAGCTTTGTTCGCGGCGTGGCCGGCGCTTAAGGCAAAACTTTTAATAGACGTGCTTGATATAAAAAGTTGACAGCTCAATAAAAACCAACGGTGTTGTTATCCCATCGATTCAATACCACACATTTTCTGGCGGTGCCCAAATATAAGTGAGACGCAGTACAGTAAACTAATGGTGACTAACGACTTGTTCAGTATGTAGAATGAGGTAGTGTTTATTCAAAATCCTTCATCTTCCGAGAACTGGTACTTTTTTGTTATTTTTTTACTTTCAATATCCTGTTAAGTTTTTGTCAAGGAGCCTTTTTAATCATGTTCATTCTGTTGTTATAATCATCATTTGAATTTGGTATAATTAACCGATTTCAAAAGAGGAGGCTCTCAATTCGATTGTATTTTTTTGTATGTTAAGCAAGTACTCTTTTTGTTGGAAACAGGATGCCTCAATATTGATCTCATTTAAATTTGAAGAAAATACTCCTGCCTCTGCCTACCTGTGAGGATGGCGAACTAGGCGATGAATCCGGTTTCGCGCACATTCCGGTAACCGATTTCAATAAAACTTGGCAGATAGATGTACTACCACAAAATTTTGAGGTCGATTTTTTTTATAAAAAAGTAATATTTTTTTATTATTAATACAAAGATCCGTGAAACACAAAGAAAAATACCAGATCTAACTGGACTCGAACCAGCGTGTGTTGTCTTACCGTGACTATTGCTGTTACCAACTGAGACACAAACCGATCTTATGAATTTGTTTATCCTTGTTGCACATCTTTGTATTTGGTTTGGTGGCGCCAATAATAATGAGAAACTTATGGAAGTTTCTATATTTTTTTGTAGTTGGTTTAATGTTTCAAATCCTCTTTATACGTATGTCTCGCTTTATCTTTATAAATGTAGGTACTGTGAACCAAACGTGTCGTCACCATCATCAACCATATATATCCCATTCCCGGGCACGAGTCCACTTTAAATCATACGCCACCACGCTAGTTTAAAACTACAGGTCACCACGCTACATTAATACCATGGGCCACCACCATGCTGCTTTAAAATCATAGGCCCCCGCGCTACTTTTAAGCCGTAGACTACCACACTGGCTAGTTAGGAACTTCTCGTGACTTCTTCGACATGTAAGTTTCATTACGTTTTTACTTTTAAAGTAAACATGACTAACTCGTGCTGGTCCCCTGTATTTACATATTTAAATCTATTCATTTATTTAAGTGGTCTAGAAGAATATGTAATACATATTTTACAAATTAGATTATTTAATTACGTCATTTTCTGAATACATAATTAAATTTCATACAAAAGACTTCAACGACGCCATTACCAGTTCTCGAATTTTAGGCATATGTTGCTAGAATGTCATCGTATGTTGTAAACAGTCTTTTAAATCTTTTTAGCTAATATTGTCTAACCTTAAACTATTGTTAGATTATTATTGTTTTATGTAAGTACGTCACAATATCCGGCTTAAAATATTTGTAATCTTAACACATGGCTATAAAACTGATAGCATATGATGGCACAAAACAATTAAGTAAAATGTTATAACTGTTTGTTTTGTTAAATTTGTTTCTTGTCATAAGTACGATTATGATTATGGTATGGCTACTCTTTTTGACCCTATCTATATACATGTTTATGATCTGTTTCTACACTGTTTAGGATATTGTGCGAACAAATAAAAAAAGAAGTACAAAAAAAACTTCTTTTTAAAACATATTATTATAGCACAAGCCATATTAGTCATAACTTACGACTTGTTTTTTAAAACTCGTCTTGAAAATAAAATTATTAACTAAGTAATATTATATGACCAATTTTCTGGTTTCGAAAGAATAACACGTGTCATTAATGTTTATAGAACATTTTATTAGTAATAACTGTGGAACCGACTTTATTGTAGAATATAATGGTACTAAGATAGGTTAACTAATTTAAAAAAAACGATCTTTAAAAGACACACAAACTGTGTTTGTTGTTAAAAATATACGTACGAGTCAATTTTTTAAACACAACTGTTTTCGAGAAGATTCCTCTGAGGAAAATGAGCAAAAAATGCGTGGAGTTGCTCGTTTACGTGCCAAAAAAAAAATACGACGCTATAGTACGAAGCATGTGTACAGTATTGCAGAAAGCACTCTCACTTATCTTATAATCTCTAATTTATGTACTATCAACAGCACATCAGGCGTCATACGTACCTGCTTGCCAAATAATTCTAACAAGATCCATGAACACAATGAACAACAGAAGGGGGAGTAAAGGTTAGGTTAGATATCTTTATCTGACGTGCTAACATAAGTCTATTATTTATGAATTTGCACTTACATTCAACAATCTAGTTGCAATTGTGAAATTAGCTGTAATTAAAACATGAGACACTATTCCTCTACTCTTAAGATGAATTGTCCCGTGCAGACCACTGCTATCTCTTTTGTATTCAAAGAACTCAGGGCAAGATGACGTTAAATGGTGTGCTATTACTAAAATAGGTCCTAATACAATGAAAACAAATGCACTGTACATATTTTTTGATCTATAGTTTTTTTTAATTTTCATGTTAAATTACACAACACACTACACTATTTTTATTTTATAACTTTTAAATATATTTTCGCAAACATTCTCGCGTTATAAACAATAACGTGTGTTCATAGTGGCGCATGCAAACAAACTGGAAACAAGTTAAACATTAGCATGTGTGGTACGTTCTGTATAATTAATCACTCTACGTTTGATCAAAAACGCTATTTATTAAAGGTAAATTTTATAATATTATCGAACAACTTCAACCTAATGATTCTTTGAGTAACGAAGAAAAATCTTCTTTTACCTAATAGCCATTATAACCGATGAATTATTGATGTCATTGTATTACAACGTAGATTATACTTATAAAGATTCCATAAAATACCTAAACAAGTAAATATAAATATTATAAATATTAGATAACGTCACATACATTGCTCCGATCCTAAAGTAAGTAACTAAAGCACTCTGACACAAGCAGATCTGAGACAATATAGAAACATTTTCTACATTGACCCGGCCGGGATCGAACCCGGGACCTCAGAAATGGCGACACCATGAAAACCGGCGCGCAAGCCACTCGACCACGGAGATAGTCACAACAAGTAAAGCAAGGGCACTTTCAGCAGTAAAATGGAAGACTCTCCATAAGATGACTGGGGGTCCGCAAGCCATTGAACTTTTATTCTGTTTTTTTTTTTAAGTTTTTGTTGAACGTCACTATGATTGACCACCATGATATTCAATTATTTTTATGAAATTACTTCACTAGTGTGTTATAATTCTAAATACAAAAACCTAACACTTTGAAAAAATTCCTTCGATCCGGTTAGATTCGAACCAACGTCTTCCAGTAAACTGTGCTAACTAACCATGGAAAGAACTAGCGGACCTTACGAATTTTTCTATGTGCTTGTTGAAGATCTCTGTTTTTGGTCTTTACTTGTTTTGCCGTATCGCCATTCGTTACAAATCTATTTCTTCACTCACACATACCACATGTTCACTCACCTTTCCTTCTGCTGTTACGTCAATACGACAACAGTCAAGGGAAAATCCCAGATTACGCCAATCATTATGTTGGTAGGTTACTCTCTGAAGAGCGCCACATTCCTCTACACACATAAATTAACTAGGTACCTACCACTGGAGTGGTAGGTACCTAGTTAACTTATTCGCACATGCCGTGTCATCAAATGAGACTTTCCTTGATAAGTCCCTTGATCCTGTAATTTCATCAGCACCCTTCAAAACCGGAACGTAGTAATTTATTTATTTATCTATTGAAAACACTTGAAAGCTTACAGTATTTACACTACCAAAGCGCTTACAAGTCAAGTAAAAAAAAAATTAAGAAAAATTAGATTACAAAAGTAAGTTGAAAAATACTGGTCGAAAGGTACATATCCCGCGCCAGATAACGTACTGTTTGTCAAAGAATATATCCAAATTCTGCTCCATTACGGCTTGGTGGCAGAAATAGGTAAGATGCCCGTACATTCCTGGACGAACTCTTTATCACGGAGCTCTACTGCTACGAAAAATATAGCTTCTAGTATAAATATGCAACAGTCCTTCATTTATTTGTTTCGTCTATATCAGTGGTCGGCAAATCGCGATTCGCGAGCCTTATAAGAAGGCTCTTTGGTCTCAGTGGCTCTTCCACATAATACCGTCCTACAAAGTACAAGACACGTGTGGATGGGAAGAGTTGGAAGGGAAAACCTAGGTGAATGTACCTCAATCAGACTGAGAACGTTTTTAGCAAAAACCAGCTTAGGAGTACCCCAATTAAGTTAATAACTACTTATTCTGGTACGGTAGGGTACAATAAAGTAGGGGTACGGAGGGAATTAGCATTGGTTTTTGATGTTTCAATTGTTAAAAGACAATACATGCAAATTGCAGAGGTTTCGAGTCGCGTGGGTCTTTGCGTTCCCGATAACCAACCTACTGCACTACTGTCATGAACGATGAGGACTTTGAATATTATTGTGTTGTTTTAATATTATCCAGTACTCTGTGTGAGTGCAAATAAATGACTTTATTTGTAATGTGTTATGGATTATAAATATTGAACAAGTGATTATTTTTGCTACGCTATTGCATTAAGTTAGTCCTGTAATGATACTGTTATGATACTAGCTTGTGTATGTAAAATAAAGTATATAAAACCTACCTATATAGTTTAAATTGGTTTTTAGTTCTTAGGTTTTCGCGATTGTTACACATAGGAAATGAAATTATTTTTCCGGATGTAAATCGCGTACATACATTTGTTTTTTTTTTTTCAAACAAATCTTGCTTTGTTTTTTAAATTGGTTCTCAAATCAAATTTCAAATTACCGTTGATTATCGCGACTCGAGGTTCTGTAATGAATTTGCCGACCATTGGTCTATACCATAAAAAATTTTGCCTCTCTTCAATGTCCAGTAGGGTTACAACGACAGTGCGCAACTAGCACGATACTGGTACTACTATTCTCGCTATCTCGCACCTTGTCGTGCTAGCCCTACGGGTTGTGTCAAAGAGATTTCTTGCAGAGATAAGAACTCTCTATTTTATGATGATTCGAAATTATGGAATAGAAGACGAGCGCGATTGCTTTTGTTTTTATATTGTGTTTGGAGATGGCCGACGCACGACGAAGGAGCAATAATAATAGTATAAACTGTTTCAGACCTTACCCCTTTTCTTTGATTATCCTACATGTGTGTGTGAAGTTTTATAAATCTCCTATTTAAGCATAAAAAAGTTATAGAGTATTTTCGGTCGTTGAATATTTAAACCACTCTCCTGGAAAGTTTTTATATTACGGATGTGAACTTATTGTATCAAAGTTTCGAATTAATTACCTATTTCAAGTTTTGAGACTGAATCATAGTAACAGACCTCCAATATTTATTTCACCGAGTCTGTGTTTCATTTAAACACGTAGCTATATCTGCGTAGTTTTGTTTATTTTATAATTCAAACAACGTACTTTACAAATCCTCCGATTCCATTTTGATACCTCCATTTGGAGGCGCGATGCCTCCAATAAACACTACGCCGACGTAATTTTTGGACATGTTCTATTTCTTTTTTTCCACAAAATTCCTTTTTTTGTTTTTTGTTCGAATTTTGTTTTGTTTGTTATAATTATTAATACAAAGATCGAACACTCAGAAAAAAATTCTTCGATCTGGCCGGATTCGAACCGACATCTTCTAGCATGCCATGTCAGACGGTATATCAACTAAGCCACAGAACGGCCCAGCGGACCTCACGAACTTCTCTGTGTTTTGTTGTCGTGTATTTGGTTTTTCAACGACTTTTTAGCCGTAGCGTCATCTATGAGAGATCTTAAGTATTTCGTCACCCAGTTAGATACCTTTATAGCTACCAGCCATGGCTAGAGATGCGCTATTCATTGTATTTGAATTTTTATTGAATTGATATTCAATAATTTTTTATGAGAAATTACTCCACTAGTTTATTATAATTATTAATACAAAGATCGAACACTCAGAAAAATTCTTTCGATCGGGCCGGATTCGAACCGACGTCTTCTAGCATGCCGTGCCAGACGCTATACCAACTAAGCCACGGAACAAACCAGCAGACCCATTGACCTATCAACAAATGGACATCGGGTCTAATACAAAAACCACGAAAAAATGCACGAAGTTAACCTATACAAACGTAGTGACATGTAACGAAATACAAAAAAACTAAAACATTTAATTTAAATTGTAACGTCATTGCAGTACTGCCTAATTTTGCTTGCAACAATTTAAAGACTCAAAAACACCATATTCAGCTTCTACTGAAAATTTAACAAAATGCACCATATTTAGCTTCGACTGAAAATTACTTGAACACAAGAGTAATGGAGTAGCCTTTATCGTAAATATAAATTAATTTTTATATATATTAATATGTCGAATTTTATACAAATTCACTTAAAGAAATAAGAAAGAGTTGGGCAGATACATACATACAAATGTTACTAGAAACGTGAAAATAAGCGTGTACAATAAGAAATGTACCGATATTCCAACTAAACGTAAACTCAAATGTCCTTAATTCCGAAAACCGATTTATAATAAAATCGTTACGCTTTCGAGTAATTTTAATTTTTTTCACAAATAAAAAATTAGCTTTTGTTTTGTAATCTTCCTAAAAAAATACATTTGACATTATGGAAATTCGAGCTAATGTATTTACTAACTTCTGACAGGTAATCCCAAGCTGTAAATCGAGTACAACAATATTTTGTTAGTTATTGCTAACGTTTAATAAAAAATCATTTTAAATATGAGATTAAAATTAAAGCGACTCTATAGTTTCTTTGTTCTTAATATTTCAGTCGCTTGTGGTTCGAACAATTGAAAATTACCGAGAAGTTTATATAAGATTCTTGAAAATGACGTAATGGGTCTCTTTCCATTTTTTGCGCATGTAATGTGTAGAAAAAGGACAGTTAGCTATTTGATTATTTTGTGTGCTTTTGTAATTTATATTTACGATTCATTTATATATTATATAAATGAAATACTATAAAACTGTACAAAATAGCACTTTTAAATGAGAACTATGATGACACAATATATTTGTTTAGTGAAAATATGATACAAAATCCTGTTTTTGCACTTTACTGCAGTAGTTTTTACAAGTTATTATTATATGGTACTACATGATTGACAACTGCGCTGTCAGTCGAACAAACGAAGACTGTTGCGCAATTGACGCTCTGTATGCGATTTTAACATAACATTTGTTGATAGGTCAATGAGCGGACCTCACGAATTTTTCTATGTGTTTGTTTTGTTTCTTTTTTTTTTCACAAAATTCTAGGAGCATAATATTACAAAATAAATATGGCTGTTTACAAAAATAACAAAAAACGACCAAAAAATAGTGTTGGCGTAGTGTTCATTGGATGTATGAATTTGTAGAAAGTATATATTTGCATAGCATATAGAATTCTTAGGTTTTCGCGATTATTACACATTGGAAATGAAACAATTTTTTGTTTCTATTTTAAAATCGCGTTTTTTTGTCAAACATTTTAGGTTTTTTACAGTTCCCATGGCTACGGCTGTCTGAGATGGTACTAATGTTAATAACAATACCGGGGAACATTCAAAAATTTATAATTAATCTTTTAGGAGGGGCGAGAGTCCGGTGTAGATATCCAAAATAATAATAAACGAAATAAGCTCTTATCCCCACACACTCTCAACACAGATATAGATACACCATGCTACATTTACTTGATTTTGGTTCGTAAATGTAGTTAAAACGAGTTAACATGCTAGGACACGAAAAACATATTAACAATAACAATAAGAAATGGGGCTAGGTACAATCTCCACTGGCAAATAAAATTGACTCCGGCCTACAATGCCATTGCCGGCGAATACCGCCCAGGTACTATTTAAAATTAAAAATTAATCTTTTAGGCCATAGGAGAGGCTACAATTTGAAATAGATATTTAAAAGAACGGTAATAATTTAGGTATTTAGTAAAAATTATAATTATAATAAGCGCCATGACTTATTTCCAAATTAGAAAATTATGTAATGCAAACCACCTCAGATAGTTAAGAATAGGGTGGTTTGCATTAATTTTATTATATTATTCATATCCGATGAAAGTTGTATCATTTTCAATATTTTTATAACACTTCTAAAGACTTTTATACGAAAATAATAGGAACACAGAAGTGTATTAATTTATAATCTAAATCATAGGTTCCCACACTTTATGGCTCAACTCACACTGGCGCAGAGTCACAGCGTCGCGTCCTGTTTTTTAACCGACTTCAAAAAAAGGAGGAGGTTCTCAATTCGACTGTATGTTTTTTTGTATGTATATTACGCGATAACTCCGGTATTTGTGAACCGATTTTCATGATTCTTTTTTTGTTGGAAAGAGGGTATCTCCATGGTGGTCCCATTTAATTTAAAAGAAAATCATCCACCTCTAAGGGTGGCTGTTCACGCATGAAGACTCATTTTCATAAATAAAAAAAAAAAATTTATTATAAGCAGCAATTATGTTAATAGTTGATTTTGCTATTCTCCAATTCAAGGCATTTTTCTCTCTCGATATACTTTGAGAAGTGATGTTTTTAGTACTCTGTACTGAGATTATAAATTACCTATTATGAGAAGGGCATATTTAAAATAAACCGCAACACTGGATAAAACTTGTTAATTTTAATAATCAACTACAACGCTTGACGACACGCGTAGTCGCGCGACGACACTCGCATTAGCGCGCCCGGATCACAGTGTCGTCGGCGTCTGACGCCTCACTGCTCGCAAGGAACGCAAGTCCGCGTGACTTTAACCAAACGTCGACGCGCGATTCCATATTTGCATATCACAAATTTGTACCTTAACGATGAGAAAACAGAGATGAATATGCTATATACACATCACATCACACCACGAAGAAAGTGAATCATCATAGCGAATGCGCTGCCGACGCCCATACAGGTAACTTCGAAACCAGTCAATTACTGTCAATGAAATGCCAAGAGAACCGAGCAGCGCAAGTACTATTTCAAAATCGACAGTATTGAAAGAGTGTTTACGTGTTTGTTTAACGTAAGTTAAGGTTTTGATGACAAACATTCCACAACAATAACGAAGCAACACTTTTTTTCATTACATTCTAGGAATGTGAATAGTTCGGCACAAATAAGTCCTACGACGTACTGGGTATAGTCTGACTCCACCCCAGCTTACAAAAAAGAAGACATTTCTTTATTTTTGGAAGGACTGTAGCCACTATCAGCAAATTTGAAGCTTTCCCCATCCCAAAACAGTTTTGTTTGCCAGCGGAGATTATAGCTAGACCCGTACCTTATTTAGGTGTAGACTTGTGCTTGCTTGATCTTTTAGTAAGCGATCCCATCTAGTTCTATCGGTTAACCAAATTAGTTCGGTCAAGTTCTTTTAGTTCACTTAACAAATTTCAAATTCATTTACTACCAGATCAAATTAATTCATATTTGTTGGAAACATTGGTCTTATTCGCTGAATTAGTAGAAACAAGGAGAATTTGTCGTCTTTTGAATACCAATGGGGTTACCTGTCAGAAGACCGAAATGACATTTTCTAGAAATAACGTTTTATCGAATTTTCATAACCTCGAAAGTAATTTTGAAAGGCAAATGTGTTTTCTTTTAAACCTACACTTTGATCTTAGCCAAAAGGCCGAGAAGCGATTAACTTAACCTAACTTAACCGAACGTAATCGGTCTATGCGATGAACGACTAACATATCCTGAAAGAACAACGGTTTCGTTATAATTCGGCTTTTAAGGTAATGAAAATTCGAACAAACGTAATTTCGGAAAAAAGAAATTCGAGTTTGTGATAGGCTACCTACCAATGGTGCTCCTACGTGGTCGCAACATCTGTGACGTAATTTTTGCACATGATACCGAAAAAGTCATCTATGCACGCATCCACAAATATGCTAGAGGTGCTGCAAAAGCGAGGAAACCTCAACAGAACCCTAAAGATGTTGTTGCATATTACACGCAAGACCTTTAAGTTCGTTGTTTGAACTTGGTCCACAGTGCACCTGTAAAAAAAATACTTCTGCATTATATGGTCTGTCATCGATATTGAACGGACTCCCTGAACTAGTACTTTTATTCAAATGAACTACTTCGGACTTCTAATACTATTATGTCACTATTGTTTAAACATTTTGTAGGGAATCTGTATTATATAATTAACTTCATAAATAAAACTACGTCATTGAGTGTTACGTATTAGAGACTTAAATGCAATGACAACGTCCAGTCGTGCATCTCACTCGAACTTCTACTAAAAACAGTGAAAGATGCTAATTATCCCGTTTCTACTGAACTAAAAGAGCGGTGAATCGATCTTAATAGATCGCTTCACGTCTTATGTTCCGCAACGCAGACAGTTCCTAGTTCCTACTGATCTTGAAAGACTCGTGAACGTGAGATTGTGCAAGAGGAGCTAGTTCATTTTGGTCAGTGTCGGAAATTAATTTCTAACAATTCATGAACTACCCAAATCTATTTTCTTTACCCTTTTTTTTTTGTAAAAACTTTTGATTACAATAAAAATATGATCTAGCGATTAAACGCCATTGGTCGATAACAACAAGCACGCAGTAGTTGGTCGTAAATTATATGACTGTCGTTGCTTGCACACAAAAAGAACCCTTAAAGTGGTAACTCGTCGGCTTTACTGATAGTAGTTATCTGTGGACGCTAGCAATCGGAATAATAAAGAATACAATCAGATAACCAGCTTTGTTCTCGACCACGGATATTTATCATGATTTTTTTTTTATTGGATATCTCGTCTGGCTTGCAATGGCTGACTGGTTCAATGACTTTTTAGACTTCAACTTTCGTATTTCGAAAATGCTTCATCATGCTGTGTTAATATGAATCAAAGTTAGCGATATTTGTGGCCGTTATATTTCATTGTGCGTACCATGAGGTTGCGTTTTGTCGTTAAGCTAACAACAAAGTGAATAAGATCCTTTTCCCTGTTGCTTTTAATTACAACAAAACGAACTACAAATCACCAAACTGACACATTTATCAAGCTTAACACTTAAGATGTAAATCCAACTCTGTGCGGCTTACGATAAGAACGGTTCAAAGTACAAAGTGTCAAAAGTGTTCTTGACTGTACATATAACTAAGCAAACCTACACGTCTATAGCTATAAGTTTATAGTATACGTTCAAAGTTCTTAAAATATTTGCAAGATATTATATAGATCAAGGAATTGCAACGTATTCATTCACGACATTTAACTGCCTCCGTAGCCGAACAGTTACCACGCCGGACTGTCATGCAGAGGTTCCAGATTCAATTCCCGGACTGGGAGAAATATTTGTATGACCTACATTTATTTCTCTGTGTGTGTTCATGGTACGCGCGACACAGGGTTTCCCTAGTGCGGGGCTATGTTAAGTATGTGCGTTATTATTGTTACGATTTTTTTCCTTCTTTTTAATAATTATAACAACAATGCGCGCCATAACCACTACAATTACTTGCTCTCAAACTAGGGAATTCCCTGTTTTATGAGTACCAAAACAACGGAATTCTCTCCAGGGCACTATATAACCAGATCTGAAACAATTTAGAGAATAACTTCAGTAACTTTCGAGATATTGGCGCTTAAAGTTCTTTTTTTGCTAATACAAATGTCAATAACGCTGATTTTCAGTTTATACTACCTCAAATGGCTTTGGTTGATTCCGCATAACAGTGAAGATGTTGAATAAATTACTTTGGAAAAAATATCTATTAAAGTGAAAACACGATTCCTAAAAATTTTCACGATACAAAATTACACAAACTTACCTCGAAATTTTAGAAGAAATCAGCGGTATTCAATATTACATATCGTCGGGGATAATGCAATTTCGCGTAACTACATTTCATTATGAGTCTCCATTTCGATATCCAAATTAGCGTAATTTACGGGAATCTATTGTTATGAGTAAGTAGACAACATAAATTGATGCTTACTGTGCAAAAACGAAAGTCGTAGCCATTGAAATAACAAAGTAATAATAACGTTAAATCCCTCTCCTAATTGAATGAAATTTGGTTTGGTGCAGATACGCGCTTTTTCCCATTAGACGCGATATACCAAAGATTTTTTTTTTATATCAATTGAACTAAAAAGAACACGTATACTTTTCAAATGGCTTTAATTTCGTTTATAACATAATAAATTCTGAAATAAAGTCGATCTGAGGCAGTATAGACTCTTAGCAATAAAATTGAAACTAATATGAAAAAAAAAGGTTAAAAACGATGTTAATTACTCAATTTCGCTAAAAATCTCGATTGCGTTACTTAGATAATTACCGCCCTGTGCATTCAGTACAACAATTCATTTAGAGTGTTGCTGGGGTTGCCGCGGTACTTCAGCGCATCAGGCATGTTGGCAGAAGCTCACACGGATGGCTTTCATGCTATTCTTAGAAAGAGAGCTGCCTCGTTGCTAAGCCGTACCCTTGGCAGCTCTAATGACGTTCTTCGCGTTGTGGCTGGTAGGGTTGAGTGCTCGATCATGCTTCATTGCATGAGACTGCATTCGCCTTCAATTTGAGGATAGTCTTTATTTTTTTTAATATTGGTAGATCCTGATGGGACTCCATATATAATTGTGTAACTATTACAAGATTATGTGCTGTATCTGTCTGAGATAAATTAATTTCGATTTGATTTAGTTATGCTAAAGGAGGGTAGAATATTGAGCTCAGGCCCTGTGCTCTCGTTCTCCGTCAGACATCCGTCCGAAACAATTACTATGAAATAAGTAATACCTATTCGATCAAATTAAAAGACGCATGATGCGAATGAAGACTTTGACATTGTCTTTTTTTTATGGAGTATCATTTAGCTGACGAGAACGAACGTAGATCCCCAGGCGCAGAATGTCCACTTCGCAATGATCCTATCTTTATTCATCGCCCACATTGCAAACTATTGCGCCATTTTTTATGATCGTCAGTTTTTACGTCAGAATTGTAAAGAATAAGGATATTTCGCTATTCAAAAATCCGTTACGTAAATTGATGTCGTCGAAGTTGTTACTAGTAGCGAAGTAACGTTCTGTGCATGCGTATTGTAGACAACACTTAATATGCACATGTGCATAAGTTAAATTTATCCAAGTAAGTCATTTTACGCTATGGGTTTAGAGAAATTACTGACAATGTGCGGACGGAGTATTATTACAAGAACGAACGCTACAAGGAAAATCGTGCTTAAAAATTGTCGAGAGAAAGTTGCGAAGACTGACAGGTATTGATTGTGGACTTTTGTAAAATTTATTGGTATAAAGAAATTCTATTAAAAGTGTTTGGCAGGGTACAATATGTAAAACCCATAAAACCCAAAGGTTTATGTAAAACCCAAAGGTTTTACATATTGTATTAATTGTCTGTAACGTTCCTAAATGAGAAATTATTCTGGATCATGTGGCATTCCGCGAATAAAAATATTTGAAAAAGTTAACAAGAATAGTGAAGGATAAAGGAGCATGTGGAAAATTGCCTATTAGATGACACATTTTTTAATTAGTAGCAGTAAAAGCCGCAAAGCTGTAATGTGAGCATTACTGTGTTCCGGTTTTGAAGGGTAAGGGTGTTGGTGAAATTACAAGCACATGGGACTTAACCTCTTTTTGCGTCGGGGATTAAAACATTTTTATGTGTTTGTCAAACTTTTTGTCTGCGGTCATGTTTGATGCGTTTGTCAAATATTGTACGTGTTTGATGGAAATCTAGATTGACGACGTGTTTGACAAACATGTTTGAAGGCATGTTTGTCGAACCAAACTTTTCACGATAACTAAACAGTTATCGCCAATGCGTTTACCTTGTTAGATTCCATTATAGTCGTTAATTTTCGTGGATATGTTTTTCTCTTAATTTCAACCATTCTCTATACCCACATGTACTTCTTTTCTTTTCTTAATACATCGTGCTAGAGTTAATACCAGGAACGCTTTATAAACATTTCTTACTCATTGCAAAAATTACAAAGCGATTTGACTCGTTGTATTAATTACTATAGTAGGATAGGTATGACTGTAGAAAGAGATAACTGAGTGTGAACTACAGACAAGTGTATGTCAAACTGGTTTGATGGTCTAATTGATCGTTTACGGGGCGCTTTACCTGGACGACAATTTTTTATGAGAGCGATCCGTTTAGCTTATAGTGGCACTTCACATCGCTATTTGTACTTGCGTATTTGATATATTTGCCAAACAATCACCATGTGGAGAAAACATGTGTGACAAAGTATTTGCCTTGTTAGCCTATTCGTTTTTAGTGGCAGCAGAGCTCCTTGTGAAAGCGTTCGTCCAGGGAAGTACTGCCACCTTACCTATTTCTGTCGCCAAGCATTAATGTCAGCATTACTGTGTTCCGGTTTTGAAGGGTAAGGGTGCTGGTGAAATTATTACAGGCACATGGGACTTGTCAACTTATGTCTCAGGGTGACGGGCGCAGTGGTAGTGCCCCTCACAACTTTGCAATTTAAAGCTCTGAGTGGCACTGTAACTGTTATGGACAGGCGTGTTGCTTACCATCAGGCGCACGACTTGTTCGTCCCGTCACTTGACGTTATAAAAAAAAATTGACAAATACAGCAAACTCCAAACTTGCGTTAGGTACCGCGCAATGGTCGGTGTCTCGATGC